CTTTGGTGGGGGACCTTGTCAAAGGCTTTCTGGAAAACTAAGTACACTATATCTACTTGATCCCCCTTGTCCACAAGTTGGTTGACCCCTTTCAAAGAACTCTAATATATTAGTAAGACATGATTTCCCTTTACAGAAGCCACGTTGACTTTTGCCCAACAAATTATATTCTTCTATGTGTCTGACAATTTTATTCTTTATTGTTTCAAATACTTTGCCCAACACTGACATTAGACTTAATGGTCTGTAATTGCCAGGATTGCCTCTAGAGCCCTTTTTAAATATTGGCATTACGTTAGCTATCTTCCAGTCACTGGGTACAGAAGCTGACTTAAAGGATAAGTTACAAACCACAGTTAATAGTTCCGTAATTTCACATTTGAGTTCTTTCAGAACTCTTGGGTGATGCCATCTGGGCCCGGTGACTTGTTACTGTTAAGTTTATCAATTAATTCCAAAACCTCCTCTAATGACACTTCAATCTGTGACAATTCCTCAGATTTGGGAATCTCCCTAACATCCTCAGCCGTGAAGACTGAAGCAAAGAATTTGTTTAGTTTCTCCGCAATGACTTTATCGTGTTTAAGTGCTCCTTTTGTATCTCGACCATCCAGGGGACCCACTGGTTGTTTAGCAGGCTTCCTGCTTCTGATGTACTTAAAAAACATTTTGTTATTACCTTTTGAGTTTTTGGCTAGCTATTCTTCAAACTCCTTTTGGGCTTTTCTTATTACATTTTTACACTTAATTTGGTAGTGTTTATGCTCCTTTCTGTTTTCCTCACTAGGATCTGACTTCCACTTTTTATCTCTCACGGCTTCTTTTACATGGTTGTTAAGCCATGGTGGCTCTTCTTTAGTTCTTTTACTGTGTTTTTTAATGTGGGGGTATACATTTAAGTTTGGCCTCTATTATGGTGTCTTTGAAAAGTTTCCATGTAGCTTGCAGGGATTTTACTTTAGCTACTGTACCTTTTAATTTCTGTTTAATTAACCTAATTTTTGCATAGTTCCTCTTTCTGAAATTCAATGCCACAGTGTTGGGCTACTGAGATGTTCTTCCCGCCTCAGAAATGTTACACGTTATTATATAATGCTCACTATTTCCAAGCGGTCCTGTTACAGTTACCTGTTGGACCAGATCCTGCCCTCCACTGAGGACTAAATCAAGAATTGCCTCTCCCCTTCTGAGTTCCTGTACCAGCAGCTCCAAGAAGCAGTAATTTAAGGTATTAAGAAATGTTGTCTCTGTATTTCGTCCTGAAGTGACATTTACTCAGTCAATATGGGAATAATTGAAATCCCCTACTATTGTTGAGTTTCTTATTTTGATAGCCTCTCTAATCTCCTTTTCTAAACTCAATTTAAAATGTAGTTTCTAGGCGTTAGTGTCACGTTACTAGATTTTAAGGGGAGCAGCCAGATCACTGCTGCACTTATGAGGGGGTGTTTGCCCCAAAAGTCTGTAGAAAGGGGGTCATGTAAGGTGTCACATGAAAGCTTGTGTTTTACTGATTCTGTATATGCTATCAGGGAAGCAGCCCTAGACTAGCTGCCAGCAACTGGTGCCCTAGGCCAACCATGCAATCAGCACCCCCACCTCCAAACCCCTCAATGATATTGCACCACCATTTGGCACCCCATTTAACTTGGCACCCGAAGCGACTGCTTAGTTCACCTATATGGACGGGCCGCCCGGTATGCTATTCATGTACTTGTATGATATCTGTATGCGGACTTATAAACATGTACTCTATAGGGATGCTGGAAAATTCTCTGTCTGAGGCAGAGCAATGGGCACAGAATGTTAAGACAGTGGCTATGTTAATTAACAAGGCTCCAGGGACAATGCATCTCTAGGTGCCAATACGCACCTCAGGAATGTGACTGATATCTGCAAACCAGCCAGGGCAAAAGGGCTGCCAGCATGGGACACACGGATAGGTCGTTGGACCATGTGACCTTCTCTTGCCAGGGAGATACCAGGGGAGATATCTAAGTGCCGTGTGGTACCCTCCATCATGTCTTGAGTTCTTGATCCTGATCCCAGATGCAGCCTTGCAGGGAACAATGAGCCGGGAAGAACCGTGGACCCATCCTGACACAGGATGTACACCAGAGACTTTTAAGATAGCAGAGATGTTATAAACGGCTAAGAGCCTGTATCGAGAATTGGGTGATTCGATGCACGTAGTGTATTATCCTTTAACAACCGTACTCTCATTCTTTTCTTTCTTTTGGTAATAAACCTTGAGGCTATGTCTACATTGGCATGATCTTGCGCAAATACTCTTTAACACAAGAGTTCTTGCGTTAAAGTATTTGTGCAAGAGAGCATCTACTCTGGCATGCACTTTTGCGCAAGAGCATCTGTGCCAGTGTACACTATCTTGCACAAGAAAGCTCCGATGGCCATTTTAGCCATCGGGCTTTCTTGCGCAAGAAATTCATGTTGCCTGTTTACACTGGCCTCTTGCACAAGAAGAGCTGCACAAGAGGGCTTATTCCTGAGCGGGAGCATCATAGTTATTGTGCAAGAAGCACTGATTTCACACATTAGAACGCCAGTGTTCTTTTGCAAGAACTCCCCCCCAGTGTAGACAGGCAGCATGTTTTTGCGCAAAAGCAATTGCTTTTGCGCAAGATCGCACCAATGTAGACACAGCCCTAGATTCTAAAGGATTGGCTCAGCATGATCTTGTGGGTAACATCCTGAGTATAAATTAATTGGGATCTGTGGCTGGTTTTTTGGGACTGGAAGAACCCGTTCGGGGAAGGTAAGATTGGGTTCTATAACCCCTCACCTGTGTATTAGGCCTGGGGCTGATTCTGGGACAGGAAGAGCTGGGGTGTCAGAGGGGTTTTGCTCCTGAAGCTTCTGGCTGGCCAAAGTGGAAGCTGAAGCGCTCGGTGTGACTGGTTTGTGACTTGTTTGGGAGGATCCCCAGTCTGGGGCTATAAGGAGCCCCCAGGTAGAGCAATTTGCCCTAAGCAGATGCCCTCAGCTGTGCCCAGACCCAGCCCGGCCCATCACAGTTAGTTAAAAGTAGTTTCAGAGACAGCTTTTCTTATTATTAAATTGCATTTCTAATCGTGTTCTTCCCTTAGTTTTCTCTACTAAGAGTTTTATTGATTGCCTACATTTTTATAGGTATCTCTTAAAAAAAAGATTCCTCTTATTCAGATTTTTTACACTATTTCTGAATTAAGCAAGGATAAGTCCACATTCTGCAAATCTGAGTTGATACTGCATTATTTCAGTGCACCTAAAGTTGCTCCAGATTGAGAAACAACCTGTTTGGCCCTTTAAAAAAAAATCTATGCAAGATTTGGGTAACTACCTAGGAAACTAATCCTTCTTTTTAACATTTTCCTTATTATGGGATGGATTGCAGATAGAGCATTGGACTGGAATAGAAGAAACCTGATTCTAGTCCCAGCATCCAGACCAGTGCCCTTAGACAAGTCACTTCACAAGATTGTGCTATAGTTTCCTCATAGGTAAAATTGGGGTACTTCTTTATAAAGCGTTTTGAGATCTACAGATAAATAGTGCTATATGAGTAGTACAGTCTCCCAGATCACGTGACCATCTAGTGTCACCTTACACTAGAGACTAAGGCAGCGGCAGGCAAGAGGCTACCAGCAGGCTGGATCTGGTCTGCCAAGCCACCGGATCTGCCTTGCCAAAACTCTGAGACAGAGAACAGCTAGCTGCTCTCCACTCTGGCTGGCTGGGGAGGGAGGAAGGAGTCTTTGCACACTGCCTTTGCCCCCTCAATAGGAGCTGAGAAATTTTGCTCAGGGACAGCATGGAAGCCTCCCTCCCTTCCCCGTCATGCATTGAACACAACCACATGAAACAGCCAGAAGCCTGGGACTGCAGCAGTCTACCTCAGATTTATGTAGGGCTGCTGGCTGGGAGCCACCTAGGTAAGCACCTCCTAGCCACAGCTTACCTTTAGCACCCCATCTGCTCTGTCCCCTCTGACTACTTTCCCCAGGCCACCATCTAAATCCTCTGTACCTCTTTCCCCCCCTTCTCCCAGGTTACAACTCCTTCCTTGTCCCAGGCCAGAATCCTCTCCTGCACTATTGCCCCCTCCTGGACTGTGCACCCCAAGCCTTTGCTACAGATCAGTCCCCACCTTGACTCAAATGCTCTCTCAGACCCCACACTACTGTCTGCACAGAAGTCTCCTACTCCAAGCTCCCTTCTGCACCCAACCTCCACGCCAGACCCCACACCCCCTCCATAGATATGCAGCCCTTGACCACTTGCCAAAATCTTGGCATACGCCCCCATTAAACAATTATGCCCTGAACTAAGGCATATATTAGGTCATGAGCTTTCCTGCCTAACACCCCGCTTGATCAGATAATTCAATGGATCTACACAACAGCAAAAGCAGTTACCTGCCAAATGTAGGACCATCGTTAATTAAGCTAATTAAGTCAGGCTGGTTGTGACCCTAACATTTGATATTCCTATTGCTGTTGCATATACTGTACCCGGGATTCTGTAATTTCCACTCCCCCTCGAGGGATGAAGTGGGTTTTACCCACAAAGGCTCATGACTTAATATGTTTGTTAGTCTCGGAGGTGCCACAGACCAGCGTGTCGAGCTTACTGGTGCGAGTGCAGCTTCCCCTCGGACAAACCCTGGCGCCGCCCCGCGCCCTAGTGCGCTGGAAAGGCCCAAGGCTTTTAGATAGGTTTGCTTAGCCGCCTTTTAACCCGCGTAAAAGCCGAGAGCGAGCTGCCTCGCCGCCCCGGGCTAGCTCCCACCTACACAGAACACCCCCGGTTGCGCGCCCCTTTCGCCCCAGCGCCGGAAATGGCGTCTGGCAGGGGGCGGAACCGCCGTAGTCCCAAATATCGCCCCTCCCCGCACGCTACTCCTGAGGGGAAAGAAATCCCGCCAATAAGTGGTCAGCGGTGCGCGCAGGGATGGGCATGGTTGAGATCCCAGGGAGGAGGGGGGCTGCTTCTGCATTTACCCTGCTTCCTTCCACCTCTCCCCGCCGGAGCAACCGATTCGTCCCTTCCCGCTGGTCTGGGAGCGCGGGTTTGTCAGTCTGAGCCTCGACGCCCGGCCCCATCCCCCAGCTTCGTCCAGGGGACGCGCGGGAATGGGGGGGGAGGGGCGGTGACAGGGATTTTTAGGGAAAGGATGTGGGGCGGCAGTATCAAGGAAGTGGGGTGTGAGGTTGTGGGCGCTGTGTTAGACAGGCGTGTGTGGACTGGGAAAAATATAGAGGGACGTAAGCATCTATGCAGGGGGCGCTTCACGGAGAGTGTGGGAGCTATGTAAGGGTACGGTATATGAGGGGTGTGAGACGTGCAGGGGTGCACTACACCAGAACTGAGGGAGCTATGCAGTGTTACGGATATATGAGGGGTATGAGACGTGCAGGGGTGTACTACACCAGAACTGAGGGAGCTATGCAGTGTTACGGTATATGAGGGGTGTGGAACCAGTGCGGGGGTGCATTACTCGGGAAATGAAAGAGCTATGCACGGGTGCAGTACGCCGGGGATGTGGGAGCTATGTAGGTGGGTGCGATACAGGCGTGTGTAGGGGCTGTGCAGAAGGACGCAAGAAGGGGGGTGGGAGAGCTGTGCAGCGGACGCTGTAATGGGATGTGAGGCTCTCTGGAAAGGCTCTGTGGGGGGGTGTGAGCGAGTCGGAAAGCACTAGTGGTTCTGGGGAGAGAAGGGCTTTGCAGTTAATGTAGCGTGGCAGATGAGGAGGGCTGTGTTGAAGGGGAGTATACAGCTGACTGTGACGAACCCACAGAGCAATGGGTGGGGCTGCAGTGCTGTGGATTGTCTGGAAGGCGGCGGTAGAGCCCCCTATAAATAAGCGAGCTGGCGGGGGAGCATAGGAAGTTTACTGAGTTCTGTGTGCTCGCGCCGCCCAAGCGGCTAGACAAGAGAAGGGGCGCGGGGAGGGCTCTGAGCATCCTAATACCGGAGACTACAATTCCCAGGACGCCGTGCGCAGGCGGCGCTATCCTTCAGGGCACGGTTGGGCCATGTCGTCTTAGGAAGCTTGGGAGGCTGAGGAGACACGTGCTGCTGGCCCTTCTACCTGGGCGCACAGCCAGAGCTCGCGAGGAGCGGGGTTATCATATCACTATGGGGACAAGTGCCAATGTGATTGTTATTAGCGATGAAAACCGTCTGTCAACGCAGCGCCGTGATTCCACTGGTTGTCCCTACCTAGGTGGGTCTCTGTGTGCCGGTTAGCCGGCTTCCTATTGGTAATAAGAGCCGTCATTCAGCTAAACCACCTGTTACGATTGGTCAGCGACCCGCTGGGTGGGCGAGTTCGTGCGCGAAGGGGTATGTGCACCACTGAGTCTGTAAATGGTTAAGGCAGACGTCGGTTAGCAGGATTCTGCATTGCCATTCGCCGACACTGGCAGTGGGCGGGCCTCTGTCCCTGCAGCGGCAGTAGGAGGAACCAGAGCCGCTGGCGGGGGCTGGTGATGGGGTCAATTCTCCCGCGTGTGTGAATCACCGTCACCGAACCGGCCCGTTGACGCCCTTATCCGCGCGGCTGTTAGCGGCATCGCGGTAAGGAGCGCGCCGCCCTTCATAACCATCGCCCGCCGCCCTGCGAAGGGAGGGGAGCTTGTTCCAGGGCCCCCGAGCCGCGTAAGGGGTCCGCGACGGCGCTGGCCGGCGGGCACCCCGGGCCGGCGGCG